ATTTATTGGTTTTTCTAGAAAATTCTTGAAAAACTTTATAACTATGATTTTGAGCTCAATATGCAGTTATTTGCTTTCCTCCATTTGTGGTTATTATGATGACTAAAACATCTATTGCATTGAATATACTAGCAACAGATATTAGAAAATATAATTTTAAAAAGATGCCATTTATAACAACACTGGTACATGTAAAACACTTAGAAATAAATCTAAAAATGATTCAAATTATTTGTGAAGAAAGGTATGAAACATTATTGAGATGCATTAAAAGGAGAATCATACCATATTCATTGACTGGAAGATTCAATGTTATAAAGATATCCATATCCTCCAATTTTACCTACAGATTCAATGCTCCTGTAACAAGTTACTGAAAATTTAGAAGCTTAAAACAACACAAATCAGTTATCTTCCAGTCTTAGAGGTCAGAGTCCAAATCAGTTTTGTTGGGCTAAAATCAAGGTGTCAGCAGGGCTATCTTCTCTCTCTCTTTTTAAAAAATATTTTATTGATTTTACACAGAGAGGAATTGAGAGGGATAGAGAGTTAGAAACGTCGATGAGAGAGAAACATTGACCAGCTGCCTCTTGCACACCCGTCACTGGGGGTGTGCCCGCAACCAAGGCACATGCCCTTGACCGGAATAGAACCTGGGACCTTTCAGTCCGCAGGCAGAGGCTCTATCCACTGAGCCATTCTTTCCGGAAGTTCTAGGGATGAGTCCATTTCCTTGCCTTTTCCAACTTCCAGAGGCTACCTGCATTCCTGGCCCGTGGATCCCCCTCCCCCGGCAATTGCACCCATCACTCCAACCTCTGACTTCACTGCACAACTTCTCTGCCTCTGCATCTCTCTTTCACTTATAAAGATCCCACTTCCAATGCTTCTTCCTACCCTCTCAGTCAAGAACAAGATGGCCTGGGACTTGTGGAAAAAGGAGAAGTCTTTTATTAGTTTGCTAGGGTTGCCATAGTAAAGTACCACAAACTAGAGGGTTTACACAACAGAAATTAGCCTCTCACAGTTCTGGAGGCTGGAAGTCTGAGAACAGAGTGTGGGCAGGGTGGCTTCCTTCTGCAGTCTTGGCTTGTGGGCCTTCCCTCTGGGTGTGAGTGACCTGATCTCTTTTTATAAGGACACCAGTCATATTGGATTAGGGCCAACTCTAATGACCTCATTTTATCTTAATTTTCCTTTTAAAGGCACTATTTCCAACTATAATCACATTTGGAGATATTGGGGCTTAGAGTTTCAATATATAAATTTTAAGGGGGTACAGTCCAGCACCCATAATAGGGAGGAAGTTCTTGTGCCCTGTTTTTTTTTTTGGAAAAACAAAAAAGAGCACTGGAAATATGGAAAGTTCCCCTAGAGAAGTGCTAGGATGGACCCCACTGCAGGGCCCAGAGGTGCTGCAGGTTCCCAAAAAGGAAATGACTCAATGGTGTCTCTGGGCAGTTGAAACCACAGGCTGCTTCAGAGTTTCCTGGCCCCAGATCAGCCTTATCACCAACTATAGCAGCAGTTCTTAATCTGTGAGTCGCGACCCCTTTGGGGGTCAAATAACCCTTTCACAGGGGTAGCCTAAGACCATCGGAAAACACAGATATGTACATAATGATTCATAACAGAAGCAAAATTACAGTTATGGAGTAGCAACAAAAATAATTTTATGGTAGGGGGTCACCACAACATGAGGAACTGTATTAAAGGGTCATGGCATTAGGAAGATTTGAGAACCACTGAACTATAGGGAGGAGCAGAAATTGCACCCTTCTTGACAGGTCACAAGTTCCAAGTGGAGGGCTGATGGATTAGAAGCAGATTGAGCCCTAGCTGATTTGGTTCAGTGGATAGAGAGTCGGCCATGTAGACTGAAGGGTCCCGGCTCAACGACACATGCCTAAGTTGTAGGCTCCATCCCAGTAGGAACGAGCAAGAAGCAGCTGATCAATGCTGCTTTTTCATCATTGATGTTTCTATCTCTCCCTCTCCCTTCCTCTCTGAAATCAATAATATATATATATATATATATATATATATATATATATATATATATATATTAAAAAAGAAGCAGCAGCAGATTGATGCTGGGCACATGTGTGGATGTGTAGGTCAGCGATCAAATTGACCCCTTCTTCACCCTGAATGCCTTGGCATATCCTGAGTTCATTGGAGTTTTGACAGTCTTGGGAAAGGAACATGTGGGAAGGATTGGTTCCCAGTCGACTGCTATCAACTTCCCAGCACCCTGGTGCAAAGGGATCTTTGCATAAATTAAATTGTATTCGGAACAAAAAGAAAGTTACATTATTTGAATTCTGGTGTGTTGTGTTCCATACATGTGTCCATTGGGCTCCCACAGAATCAGACCCAGGAAAAGGATTTGGGGGTAAATTTTTCCTGCCAACATCTCGATTTTAATCCTATATACTCACATCTGACTTCGACCTCCAAGAACTAAGATAGTACATTTGTATTGCTTTAAGTTACCAAGTTGGTGGGAATTTGTTACAGCAGCAATAGGCAACTAATACAACTATACACTCACATTTTCTCGAAACCCATGGTCATTTTAGATTGTCATCTATTTTCTCACCTCTAAGTCTCATCTTTTCTAACCTCTTCGTGTCTGGACTTTGCCATCCATAAAATGGTCATCATAACAGGGTGATTGTGAGAATGAAATGAGTTACTGTGAATTAATGTACTTAGCACAGTGTCTGGCACCCAGTGAGTATGTTAGAAGCATACTATAATAATGATCATTATTACTTTAAGAAAAACTGCTAAATAATAATCATTATTACTTTAAGAAAAACAATGCCAGCACCTGGCTGGTGTTGCTCAGTTGGTTGGGCATTATTCACTGCACAGAAAGATTGCCAATTAGATTCCCAGTCACGGCATGTGCCCAGGTTGTAGGCTTGATCCCCAGCAACGGGCATGCAGGAAGCAGTCAGTCCATGTATTGCTCTCACATTGATGTTTCTCTCTCTCTCTCTCTCTCTCTCTCTCTCTCTCTCTCTCTCTCTCTCTCTCTCTCTCTCTCTTTCTCAAAAAAAAATCAATAAATAATTTTTAAGAAGAATAAAAAACCCCAACAACCTCACACCCTACTGAAGAAAGGCAACTGACATTCAGCCTCCATGTGAGAGACAACTGGGAGGGATAGAGAATGCGGTGAGCTGTTGAGCTCATGCCTTCTCCAAAGGGGACAGCCTCTACCCACCCCTACTTGTGTCATTGTCATAATTTCTAACTTTCCAAGTAAATCCAGAAATCTGTATTCATCCATTTGCCAAGTTTCATAATGTTTAAATATTGGATACTGATTCCCATTTTAAAAACGCACTCAATGACTACATGCAGCCTGTGGATGAAAGATCACCTTAGACATAACAGCTGGAAAGAATTCAAAATGTAAATGTGTGTGTATGTGTGATTACAAGCATGCTTACAAAATCCTCAATCTACCAAGAATTATCGAGTTCCCTGTGGGTCCAGCTCTGTAAAAATGCTTAAAGACTCAAGTCATTTAATCTTACAACAATCAGAGTAACGTAGAGGCCACTGTGCCTCCTGCTTTACAAATGAGGAAACTGAGGCCCAGAGAAGCCAACAATAGCTGCATTTCAAGATCAATGTAGCCCTGAAGTGTCAGAGCAGGGCTTTGAACCCAGGCTCTGGCCTAAGAACCATTCTGTCTCTCGAAGAGGAGGCATTTCTGTATTTGACTGCAGTGATACGTAGCAGGAGGCGCACAGTTTCATAATAGAAAATTAATAAGAGACTTTATCATCATGATTTTCACTTCTACCACCTCTAAAATCTTGATAAGAGATGCAAAGAAGGGGGGCAGGGGAGAGTTTCCTGCCTCGGGGCTGAGAGGGCTTGAGGAAGGGTTTATTGGGGGTGGAGGAGAGGTTGAAATTGGTAAAGACCGGAGCCCACGAGGTAAAAGCAGAAATCAAGTAGATTTAACTTCTACTGAAAAGTAGGTTAGTGGCTTGAGCTGGGACTTCCTGCCCCCACACATTATCTGAAACTGGTCTAGGTGTCCTGCTGCAGCAGCCTGCACAGCCACAGGGCTCTCTCAGATTTTCCCTTCTCATTCCCCTCCTCTTCCCCATCCATCCTTCCTTTTCCACATCCCTCCTACCCTTAACCATCCTCCTTACCCACCCTTTCTCTTCCTCTCCTTCACCTCAAGGCAGGGTGGAATGATCTTTGAAGATTAAATTTAGTGAGAGTTCCATCCCCAAGCGGAAGTTGGTGGCTGAGATAAATACATTGGCCCCACACCTTGGTCTCTGCACAAAGCCACGGAAACAGAAAGACCATGATGAGAGTAAAGGAAACTCCAGCGGGGGCTGGGGCTCTGCATCTGGGGCTGTCCCACCTCCCACCGGCCCAGTAAGGGCACAGAGGCATGAAGCCCTGCGTCCTTAATAGGAGTGGAGGTGGAGGTTGGGGGCAGCATCCCCGCCTTTGTCTCCCCATCAGGAACATGGAGACAGCAATGGCTCCTGCCCAGGCACGTGACAGGAGATGTCTGGTATAGGGAGAGTGACCGAGAAATGCTCTTTGTATTTCTAACTCAATTATGGCACACACCGCTTATGGAGCTCTGACTGTGTTCCAGGCACCATACCCAATGGCTTCTTGGGTATGATCTGATTTCATCTTTTCAATGAGCCGAGGAGGCAAGGACTGCTGTGACCTCCCATTTTGCAGAAGAGAAAACCGAGGCACTGAGAGGTGATAGGACTTGCTCAAAGACACACAGCCAGGACGTGGTGGAGTGAAATTGGAACCTAGGAGTATCAGGTTGCAAAGCCTATTTCCTTTGCTCCTATACCAGACAACAATGACAATAAAATAATAATTTATTCACCTCTGGGTCCCAGCCCTCATCGTAGGGTCCTTGGAAATAAGACTTCCCTCCAATCCCAACAAAGTATATGTTCATTTGCATAGACCATCTATGCGTATCATCACTTCCTCTCCCCCGACACTCTTCCTGTGCCCCCAGTCACTCCAAGCTTCCACAACGCAGAGGGTATGCCACTCTGCACTGATGCCTGCAATAAGGGTGCTGGGCGGGAGGTAGTCTTCACGTCCTCAGGAGTCGTGGATTGGAGGGCAAGGCAGACCTGGGCATGCAGTCTCTGCTTCCCCCAAGCTTCCTGCACGGAGCTGAGCCAGCTGGGTTCAGGGTTCTTATCCATAAAGTGACGTCTGTGAGTCATTCCATCGATTCCTCTGCCTCTACAAGCCACTCTTGCCTTATGACGAGGTTGACCAAGATGCAGCATTTGCCATTTATTCCAAGACCAGCAGTCAAGGGCCCAGGGTTACAGACAATGTCTGGTCCTCACCCGGGATGTGTTCGTCTTGGCTGATAGGAACCTCAGGCTGTGTGTGTGTGTGTGTGTGTGTGTGTGTGTGTGTGTATGTGTGTGAGATCATGATGCTGTGTGTGTGTGATGAGTCGGACTGTGACGTGGCATGTGGAAGTCTGATGTGATGATCATGTGTGTGACTATTCGGCCTGTGTGGGTGTGTGGGGTTGTGTTGATAGCTTGTGTTGTGTCACACATGGTTATCAAGCAATGTCTCCAAGCTCTAGGGGTGGCTGGGTTTTTGGCCCCTTGAGGTGCCTGCTGGCTCCCCAAGTGCTGAGTTCTGGAGAGTTCTCTACTTGCTGGATTGTCTGTCTCCTGAGGCACCTCTCCAGTCAGACCCCCTGTCAATCGGCTACTGCTCCATTCTTCACACCATGAAGGCCCCGAAGTAGGAGCGTGTACCATCCCGAAGCCGGATCAGGCGCTCCTCCAGCACCCGAACGACCACCTCCTCCCCTGCGTCCAGGTGCACCACGCCGCCCAGGAAGCTGCTGTCCCACCAGACGCGGGAGTCGGTCCCTTGCTCACAGGGTGACTGCCTGCTGACCAGCAGCTCCAGCTCCTCGGGATAGCGGGGTGTGCGCTTGTAGAGGCCGTGGGTGATGGGCAGGCCTCTGGCCAGCCCCTTTGGGCAGCCCACTCCCCCTAGCTGCACCTTGGAGTAGATGTAATAGTAGCCGGCTTGGACAATCACCAGGGCACCCTCTTGGTAGTGGAGGTTCCTCAAGAAGGCCAGGCCCAGCTTTGACTCCCATAGCAGCGGGCCCCCACTGCTGGTCAAGCTGAAGTTGGCCCCTGGGGAGGGAGACAAAGGGAACTGCTCAGCACATGCCCCAAACTTGCTGTGTGAACTTAGGCCAGTCACCGCCCCTCTCTGAGCCTTCGCCTCTGTGTTAGGCTGTTTGAGAACTTTCTACGTATGAATTCACTTCATCCTCTCTGGCAGGTTGGGAAATTGAGGCACAGAGCAGTGAAGTTACTTGCTTCTTATACATATTAACTCGTCTCATTGCCCTCTGATAGGCAGGAAAACCGAGGTATGGAGCAATTAAGTGACTTGAGAAAAGCACCAAAACGGTAGTGGTTGCCCTGGCCAGTGTTTCTCAGTAATTAGAGCATCCACCCCAAGCACTGAAGGGTCATGGGTTCGATTCCCAAGTCAAGAGACCTGGTGGGTTTGGGCTTCAGGCGGGAGGCAACCAATTGATCTCTCTCTCTCTCCCTTCTGACCTCCTTCTCCCCCTTCCTCCTTTCCTTGCACTCTCTCTAAAAATCAGTGAAAAAAAATAACCTCTGGTGAGGATTACCACAAATAAATAAAATACCACACACAAAAACCTCGTAGTGGCCCGGCCAGTGTAGCTCAGTGGTTGAGCATCGACATATGAACCAGGAGGTCATGGTTTGATTCCCAGTCAGGGCACATGCCTGGGTTGCGAGCTCAATCCCCAGTATAGGGTGTGTAAGAGGCAGCCAATCAATGATTCTCTCTCATCATTGATGTTTCTGTCTCTCTCTCCCTCTCCCTTCCTCTCTGAAATCAGTAAAAAAAATAAAAAAATAAAAATAAAAACACAACAAAAAACATACACACACACGAGAAAACACCTTGTACTGGCAGAACTGGGGGATGAAGGCAGAACCCACCTGGCCTAGCATCCTTAAAACCTCTGTGTGTTTCAGTTTCTGTCTCAATAAAATGGAGATATGGAGAGTATCTGCTTAGGAATTAATGAATTAATATGTATAAAGGGTATTTGGTGCTCACGTGTGTGAGCCCTGTTTACAGGTTTATTCAATGAATAAAGTTAGAAATACATGGACCCAGGCAGTGCCTGTGCTCTGGGTGACTCTGTGAATAAATATTGAGTGAGTGAGTGAGTGAATGAATGAATACTGACATGTTGTGTGTCTGTCTGGTCTTCCCAGGACACCTTGACCCTCACCCCTTGCCAGGACCCGGGGTCCCCCTCACCTGTCAGATGTGCTGCCGGGTTCGCCTTGTGGGACCTTGCCTCTGGAGAAAGAGTCAGATGTCAGACGTGAAGGCAGGTAAGGGCCAGTCTCCCAGAGGTCATCAAGTCCACTTACTGGTGTCAACCCCACCCTTTCCGGAGTGACCGAAACTTCTGCTTCTCAGGATTGGGGGAGGGGCACCTGTGGGACTTTCTGTCCCTTGTGCAATGGGGGTGGAGGCAGCGTGGGAACCATCCAATGCCCCTCCCCGGGGACCAGCACCCTGACTCACCTGGCGTCAGCTGCTCCCAGGATCCTGTATCTCTCTCCTGAAAATGCAGAGGAGCCCAGAGTAAGGACCTGTGGGGCCCCTCCCCTGGCATCACTCAGACTCACATGCAGATCATGCGTCCAGCATCACCCTCAGATACCAGTACACACCCAGGGCCACATGCACACACCATACAGTAACCTCATCACCACATGGTGCCTCAGTTTTCCTCTCTGTAAATGGGCATATGAAGAGTGCCTGCCAAGGATTCAATGAATTCGTATGTGTGAAGTGTATTACAGCCCTTGGCACGCAGTAAGCACTCTACAAGTGTTTATTCAAGAAATAATGTTCAAGATACATAGACATGTGGACATAAATGCCAGTATGTGGATATAGGCACATGACACTGGACACTTAGGTATCACTGACAGACACATGTGGATCCACACACATGGATGCCTGGTTTATGGATCCAGATGGGTCTGTGACACACAGAGACCCAGAAACAAGAACAACATCAACCCATGGGCTGTGGACCGGCAGGTGCGTGGACATGTGTGTGTGTGTGTGTGTACATAGGACAGCAGTACAGTCCACATGGACTTGCACACGTGGCCACCAGATCCAGACACAAAGATAAATGACCTGGAGACACAGGGCACAAGGTCTTAACCACATGGGCATGGCATAGGACACACAGACCTACAGGCATGGCCAGCAGACAGACAGTCACATCCACGGCCAACTGGAAACGGATGCAGAGAGATTCTCAGCCACCTGGACAAAGTGGATTAGCGGCAATCCCAATAATAGTGATCAAGAATCGCCAATAAATAATATGCAAGTCGTGTTGATTCCAGGGGCTACAGACAGCAAAACTGTTTTATAAACACTTGCTAAAAGACTAGATCTGAATTATTCCCAAACTAAGAGAAATGATAATGAAGTGACACCATACAGATGCTAGCTAACGCCATAATAGCAATCATACTGTAATATAAATGTATCAAATTAATACATTGTACACTTTAGACTTCCACAGTGTTGTATGTCAGTTATATCTTAATTTTATTTTTTAAAATATGTATTTATTGATTGGAGAGAGAGAGAGAGAAAGGGAGAGGGAGACAGAGAGAAACTTTGATCCACCGCAGCACGGGGATTGAGCCTGAAACCTGGGCATGTGCCCCTGACTGTGAATTGAACCGTCGACCTTGCGGTACATGCGACAATGTTCAACCAAACGCGGCATACTGGCCAGGGCAGTTATATCTCACTTTTTTAAGAAAAGGAAGAATGCTTTCCATTGGTTGAACTCTTGCTATATGCCAGCCACCATGGGCACGTATTTTATTCCCTCTGAGGCAAATACTCTTATTTTTATGCCCATTTCACAGACAAAGAAATTGAGGCCCAGGGAGATGAATGAACTTGCCTGGGGCTGCCCTGAGTCTGGCCCCCGCCCCGCACAGCCATGCACAGAGAGAGACACACAGGGACACAGGAGACCTGCCTACCTCTGGCCCCCATTCCCCACTCACCGGCAATGAGGTGACTATTTGTCCCAGGCGCCAGTGCAGGTGCAGCAGAAACCACCCTTGTAGGGCCAGCCCGGCCACGAGCAGCAGCAGAAGGAGGACCAGACTCAGCCGGGCAGCACTGCAAGCCTGTCTCCGGGGCTTGCGCTCCAGCTTCCTGAACGGGATGTCCGTCTGTCCGTCCACCACGAACACCGAGGGCCGCACCACTGTCTCCTCCATGCCTGCGTGGATGAGGCCCCAGATGCCCAGGCTAGGCTTGCACAGCTGGGTCCTGCGGGCTGGGAGGAAAACCACAATTGCCCAACACTCCTGGGCTTCGCACGCTACAGACAGGCACCCGTGGGTCCTGGGGCCGCCTTTAGAGCTGTGGCTTGGCCCCTCCTCTTTCCCCCTTGCCCTCCTCTCCTTCCTGTCACCACACCCCCGCTGGCCCCATCTCACTCTCACTCATGCCGTCGCTCATACTTTCCAGAGGCAGCTGAAGATGTGACTCAGGTGGGGATCAGAGAGCAGAGGTCCCAGCTTTCCCTCTGGCCGCTTCATTCACTTGGTTGCCAAATATGAATTGAGCATCTCCTATGTGCCACTGTTCCAGGTGTGGGGCCACCGCCATGAACAAGACAGACAGAGGTCTCTGGTCCTACAGAGCTCCTATTATAGTCAGGTGAGAAAGACAATGAGCCCAATACATAAGAGAATAATATGTAGTATTTTAGACTGAGACATGGAAAATACAAGAGTGTTTTTTGTGTGTGCACACATATAGATGGGTGTGTATATGCTTGAGTGTACATGCATATTGTGTGTGAGTATGTGCATGCATGTGTATGCTGTTTGTATATGTACATGTATGAGTTCATACACGTGGATGTTTGTATGTGTGTACACATGTGTGTGCAGGTGCGGTATCTGCATGTGTGTGTTCATGTGTACGTTTTAAGTTTTAACTGGAACTCAAAGTCATGGAGTGGAACCACTGCCCATACAGTTAAATAAGCTCAGGGCCTGGGAGCCATTCTGGACCTTCCCTTTATCTTGTCCTCCATATCCCACCTTTCAGCAAGCCTTGACATTGCAACCTCCGTCTTAGATTCAGCCACCTGTTTCCATCCTATTTCCAGCTAGACAATGATGAGACATCGGTTCTTGTCTTCTTGAAGGAAAGATTTTAGCCAAGAGGCAAAAATCGGCAAAGCAAGCAAGAATTTATTGACATTAGCAAAAGCACCACTCAGGACAGTGAAACGTGGGCAAGCTTAGCATGCCTTAGGTCAGTGGTTGGCAAACCCATTAGTCAACAGAGTTGACAATAACAACAGTACAACGAATGAAATTTCTTTTGAGAGCCAAATTTTTAAAACTTAAACGTCTTCTAATACCACTTCTTCAAAATAGACTCACCCAGGCTGTGGTGTTTTGTGGAAGAGCCACACTCAAGGGGCCAAAAAGCCGCATATGGCTCACGAGCCTCAGTTAGCCGAGCACTGCCTTAGGGATGCATGTCTGGGAGAGCGCTGCCTTAGGGATGCATGCCTGGGAGAGCACTGCCTTAGGGATGCATGCCTATGAAGGACAGAGAGGAGGCAGCCAAGGCCCGGACCTGTTGCCCAGAAGGAGAGTGCACACTGGGTCCTTTGTGTTGAGGGTATTTTCTTTCTCTTGCAGAGACATTGAAGGCAGGAGGGTTCTAGGGGAGGGTTGGCAGAATAGTCATCAGTTTTCCAGGGGTGTGTTCTCCATTGATGATGCTGGGGATCATTAGTCCTGGCAGCTGGTCTTGAGGCAGCCACAGCGTCACTTGTCTGCTTGTGCTGATTTCCTGTGCCTGGAGCTGAAGCACAACTGAGGTCTAGATGTTATCTTTAGGGAGGAAAGTCAGGGGGTCTAACCTGCATGGCTAACAATCTCTCTCAGACATGACATTCCAGTCAAAGTGTTGGTTGATAAAACTACGTACAATTGGAAACTGGTCTTATTTAATTCATGCAAAGAAATGTATTACTATGGCTCACTCAATAAGAATTGCTAAGTTCTGGAGGAATGAGGTAGGGAGAAAATATATAATTTACCAAATTGCTTTAAAAAAATAAGTCTTATATCTAGAAAGCAAGAGTAGAAAAGAACAAAACTTTAATTCTGTATTAGTTTTCTTTTGATCTTTAAATTCATTTATATAATTTAGCTCATCATTCAGCTCACCTATATAATTTGTTTTCAAGATTTCTCTTCACAAACGTTCTACAACTTTCACAAACCTTCTTACCCATTCAGAAATAGCCAACTTTAAAACAATTTTCTTCCTTTTCCTTAAAAAATATCTCCAAACTTTATACTTTTCTATCATCAAACCATACAATTTCTTTCTAATTTAATTTGAATTCTTAACTCTTAGGAAATTTAATTTTTAGTGATTACTAAAAAGTAAGCAATTGGCATTTAGATTAGCAAATATATATCATATTGGACTTCTCCATTGGCAAACACACTCAAACTTTTTTTAAAGTATATTTTTATTGATTTCAGAGAGGAAGAAAGAGGGAGAAGAGAATGATGAGAGATCCATTGATTAGCCGCCTCTGCATACCCCCAACTGAGCCCGCAATCCAGATATGTGCCCCTGACCAGAACTGAACCTGGGACCTTTCGGTATGCAGGCTGACATTCTATCCACTGAGCCAAACCAGCTAGGGTCACTTCAAAGAGACATTTTTTAAAAATCAAATGTAATATATTTATTGAAAACTCCAAATCTATTTTCTAGCCTTTTTTTTTTTGTAATAAAACACACAAAGTAGGTGAAATTCAGTCTTGTCTAGCAATTAATGTTTAACATCTGAAATACTACATTAATTTAGATCCACTCAAATGGCTAAGGTGTTTTTTTTTTCTTTTCCTTTCAATAAGGATTACCTCCCAGAAACTTGCATTTTAAAATAAGGCCCAAGTATGATTTGGTGGGCTTTGAATTATTTCTGGAACCATACTACTGGCCTTGTAAAGATTTTTTTGTAAAAAAAAAAAAGGAGAGTGATTCTTTTTTCTTTTAAAAAATATTTTTATTAATTTCAGAAAGGAAGGGAGAGAGAGAGAGATACAGAAAAATCAATGATGAGAGAGAATTGTCAGTCAGCTGCCTCCTGTACACCCTCAGTGGGGATTGAGCCTGAACCCTGGGCCATTTTTGGGCTGGCCAGTGAGACACCAGGTTTAATCCCTGGTTGGGGCACATGTAGGAAGCAACCAGTTGATGTTTTTCTCTCACATATCAATGTTTTCCCTCCTCCTCCTCCTCCTCCTCCTCCTCCTCCTCCTCCTCCTCTTTCTCCTCCTCTTCCTCCTCCTCCTCCTGCTTCTCCTACTCCTCGTTCCCCTCCTCCTCTTTAATATCAATAAAAATAATTTTTAAAAAGCATTCCCCCATTTTTAGAATGCTTCCTTTTCATTTGGGTAGTTTTCTTTGGGCCCATAGCAATTACAGAGAGATCTTGTTTACAGGTAGTATATAACTTAGGGTCATTTCTGGGAGCCATAGACTTGGGTGTCCCGGACCTTTGCCCATTTCCCTGGGACCAGCAAAGCAGGTCTAGCTGCAAGTCTTACAAAGGTCTTGGTTGTTCCTTAAGGCCATGGAGGCTTGGACATATGGGACTTCAGTCCATTGGCTCTGGTGATGGCAGAGAAAATCTAAGCTGGAGAATGGTGTGATAATGAAGGCTTCCATTCTTCAGCCAGGCCTCCTGGTTCTCAGTTTATATTGGGGCCAGGTTGTATTGCAAAAGAAGGCTAATCTCTTTTTCTTTAGGGTTTGGGGATCAAATTTTGACCAGTTATTCAGGATTCATTCTAGGGGTGAGTCCTGAGGAATGGAATAGAATAGAGGGAGCAAATAGGAGAAACAAGCACCCCCATTCATCCCCTTCACTCCCATAGTGGGCTTGAAAGAGAGCATCTTCTCCCCCCCCCCCCCACCGCCCCCGCCACATTGTGCCCACCCAGGTTTGGGGACTCAGCTAGCCTTACCATGTAACTGGCCCCACCCCTACCCACATGTCTCGTGCTAGAGCTCATCAACCCCTAAAGTCCCAGATGGAATCTCTTTCCTCTCTGACCCCTTGTTGCTGGGGTTCAGGTGCACACACTAGTCTTGAACAACTGAACTCATATGGAATGGGAAAGATGATCTTTCCCATTCTGTATGAGTTGCCAGCAAAATAGATCTGAATGAGAATATATGGTAATTGCTATTCTTGTGTTCATACAAATTTTCAGGTCAAATGGAAACTGAACTTACTATGGTAAATAAATTGGTCTTAATTTGGCTCCTTGATAAAAATAAGAATGATTTTAGAAGGAAAATTTTATTTCAATAGCCCCCATAAAACATAGTTGTGGATATTAGACGTTAGTTCAGTTAAAAGCTTTATTGTTCACCTGTGAACTAAACTGGGTCCTGGATTTTTCTAGTATTCTCAAATATTTGCCTCCCAGCCTCCAGACTCATGCTTTATTTTTCTTCCATTCTTTGACTTGGAATTATTGGGAACTAAACCTTTTTTCTCCTATCGGACCATTCATTACAATTCTTGCCCCAATAATACTGAGATTTGTAGCACAGTTTGTTTCCACTAGGTTACAAGCACTACTTGTACTCAGGGAATACTGCCCCTTGACACCATCACAAACAATCTCCTTCCCTGCCCAGGCCTCAGCACCCCTCTGACAGAGATCAGGGATCTCTGTGCTCTGAAGGAAAGCCTCAGCTCTCTTCAGCAGAAGTAGCTTCAGAAGAGACCCTGCGCTCTATTTCTCTGAAAGGATTCAGAGCCAAGATCCTTGAGTGGGGAATGTAATAGGCAGTTAGACAGACATGAGCAGAGCAAGGATGGTGGGCGATTCAGAAGGTCACCAGGGCAGAAAGCTCTGGGTGCCTCGCAAGGGGTAAAACTGGGAAAACAAGGACCTTGACCCCAGGGTAACCTTTCCTCCCTAGCATATTGCTGGTCATGCAGTCTGGACCTCCTGACTTTTCCTCCCTAAAGGTAACATCTAGGCCTCAGTTGTATTCCAGGCACAGAAAAGCAGCAAAAGCAGACAGGTGATATTGTGGCTGCCTCAAGACCAGCTGCAATGATTAATGACTTCCTGCGCTGGCCCCTCCTCCTTTCCTTACCCCACAGGTTCAAATCCCTTAAACCCTAAGGGACCCCATGAGACTTGCA